AAGGATGCAAAGCTCAGAAATTTTTGTATGCCATTTGACAACAATGAGAGGAATCTTTGACGGCTCTTTTCATGGATTTCTCCGGGAGCAAGGCAGCGTCTTCGCGTTATTTATCGCTCATAAAAATGTAAGCGCACCTCGGACGCGACTCTTGGACGACGCGTTATGAAAATGTCACCTTTGGAAGAGCTGACACGTGTCTTATGTTTTTTGTCGGAATGTGGTATTTTTCACTACCAAAAAATAACCTTTTTAAAAGTTTTGGCGAGACGAATATCCGGGAACTGAGGGTCTTTTCCCAGAAAATCGACTAATTTATTAATCTTCTCTATCCTTAAATGATAATCATCTTCCAAAAATTCATCGATCACGACGAAGTAGTCTCGTCTTGGAGAGTTTCAGGAATAATATCATTCTGAAAACTTAAATGCTTTTTCCCAAAATTGTTTTTCTTGAGAAAAAAACCCTAAATTTTTTGAATTTGTATCATCCATTGTCTATGTTGGCGCGAGAAACCTGACAAAGTATACGATAGCAAACTCCAAAAAAAGAGAAATTCAATCAATAATACCCGACTTTTCGACACATTTTCTGACTTAAAAGTATTTTGAGGTTAAACAAGCTGCTGGTTCCAACACTACTGTGTTGGAGAGCTCGCCTTCGTGAAACTATTAACATGACAAATTTTTCACACCGCAATAAATAAACTGAATCATAAATAAAACAATAACAGCAAATTCATGCAAATAGAAATTTGGTGAAATTGGTTAAATTGTGATAATAAAAAGAAAATAAATGAGTTCAAAAAGCAGTACCTGATTTGCAGAGAGCCTCTTCATTTTCTTACAATTATCACAATTTAAACCAATTTCACCAAATTTCTATTTGCATGAATAGAAGGATTTTCCATTACACTATGTAACCGAGGAAACTGGGAGATTCTCCAATAAGATAGCATAGAGTCGGCAGTCAGCTGATAATTTTATCGCAACGGAACAACAAAAAAATAAGACTTCAGTTTTTGAAAATGTGAAAGGATTAGAAATGCAAAAATACAGAAAAAATATAATCCCACCTATAATAATCAAGCATAAAGGTGAGCACATACACAAACAAATTCGTGTTGGTGTGGGTCAAGTCTGCTCGGCCACCGGAAAGTGCTGCTCTCTAGTGTAGCGAACGAGGAACAATTAATCCTCAGTTGAATGAGGGAACGGAAATGTTCGACGAAGGAAAACTGTAACCCGCGAAAATTCAACTTTTAGACCTTGAAATCAATGGGATTTTGGCCGTTCCTCCGACGGCAACGAGAACCATCCATTTGTTGCCATGGACACTACCAATGCTAACAGAAATCGATCGCAAAGAGCTCTCCCGAGTGGGCGAGCTCAAAAAACCTCGTTCAGTTGCAATAAAACTAGAAAACTATGTGTCTTTTCCCCGACACCTATCTTATTTTTTCAAGAAAATACATTTTGAGACACACTGTCAAATTTTATTTTCTCATTGTTCGTCGATGTCAAAAAAGTTTTCTTTTACCAAATTAAAATTAATTCTAAATACGCATTTGTTTTTGGTCCAACGACCTGTTTTCCTCTCAGCGTGAAGGTTTCCTCCCGGTAACCGTAGCGTATAGCTCTTACACAAAAGACTCGTATACTTATTGTCAGTGGCTCGTCCCTTGATGGGCTAGTCAACTAGATGAAAGGCGGTTGCACGGTTGCCAAACTGGCTGTATTCTAACCGAATATTATGGTGATAGTTATGAATTATGCTATGCATTTTACAACTGCTGATCAATCTGACCCTGTATCATCTTTCATTTGATACTAGCCTATTACGCAACAGAGCGTCTTTATGGCATGTGCTGCATTGTTATGTTCGTGTATATTCTTACTCGCGTGTACCTATGTTTTATCCGAGGGATTTGCATTTGTGCTCACAAGTATGTGATGCTCTCTGCGTTTTGAGTGTCTCAGATTTCAGCTCGAGACTTGTGAAGTCCTTGTTTTTTGTAATCGGTGGGATGGTTCATCAGAAAATTGAGCAATGCGTATATTTTCAGGATAAAAAAGATTGAAAAAAATGATGATGAGAATAAAAAAAAATATGCACTCAAACGTGCATGTTTCGAGCTGACACATTGCTCCAGAATATGTTTAGTTGCAAATCAATGGTCCAACTAGTAAAACACTTGTCTCTTTCCCCATATTTCAAAATTTCCTCTCACACCTTTTTCCTGAAGAGCTAGTGATGAATGTCACTCAAAGCATGCAAATGTGACAATTAATTTGAAATTACGGGGAATTTATCTGAAGCTTCATGAAATTCTGAGGTTACTAATCATATAAAATACAAGGTTTGCGGTCTGCGTCAATTTTAGGTATAAAAAAAAGATTTACTTCGGAATGAAAAAATTGAGCTTGAAATCTATGTAGCGTTACACAAGCAATACAGAGGGACGTGCAAAAGAGCGTGCATACTTTCAAATATTTCCTACCGTATCCACTTTTTATCAGTTAGTTTTAAGGCTAGACATGGTTTTTTTTAATATTTATAAATTTTCTCTCTTTTAGTCCATAGATAGAACCAAATAATTTAATTTACACATGAATATTTGTAATCTATTTCTTTCGTTCAATATCCACAATTTTTTTGGATTTAAAGGTTAATGGCCTTCTTAATGAAATTAGAAGAAAACAAATAATCAAGCTCAAAAAATAAAATTTTATTGAATTACCAAGCTGTAACAGCATCTGCTAAGATTTGTTCATTAACGTTGATTATAGTACGCATAAAAAGTAACTTACAATGATAATAACGCAAATAAATAATAGGTATTTAAGATTGACTACGAGACAAGGTGCGAAATTAAGGACCACAATATGACTACGTTCTGCGATTAGGAGCTACAATTTCTGGCTAAGTTTAGAAATAAAGTATGTAGCATCACTGTCCCTATGCACTTAAGTGTTCTTCCAGATGAGCTAGAAATTGTAGCTGCTAATTACGAAATGCAGTCCAATGTTTCCAAAGCAAAACTTTACGTAGAATATGTTGACTGTATTGAGGTATTCCAAATCCACCGCCAAAAAGAGGGAACGGCGTTTTTTTGTTCGGGTCATTTTACACTATAAACACTCTCAAAACACTGAAGTCCACTCTAAACAAATCGAGCTTGTACTAAACTAATTTTGATATATTTTACGGTGGAAAAATTTTCCCGTGCGGTGCCTTTATTTTACACAAAATTAGAGATGCACTGTATCAGAGAAGAAGGAAAGTGTGTGAGAAACTATACAAACTCCAGTTACTTCCTTGATATTTTGGTTTTTTTCGATGACCATTTCAATCAACGTTGTTTTT